TCTTGAATGTCCTTACTTCTTTTTGTCCTAGTGTATTCAAGTGTGTATTAAACTGCTAGTATGAGATCTTTCCAGTTTTTTGTAAAATAATCCTATTTTTTGATAAATGAACTTTTTTTTACAACTGTTGTCACTTTGTCTCATAAATTTGGGTGTATGTTTTAATTATACTTATTTAATTCTAGGAAGCCTTTAATTTCATTATTCCTGTGTTGATTCCCTAGTAAATCATTTGAGAGTTGCTTGTTTTCCGTAAGTGTGAAAGCTTTCTGTTTTTCTCTTATTGTTGATATTAAGATTCGATCTGTAGTAGTCTGACCGGATTCATGGGGTTATTACAGTTTTCTTGCATCTGTTGAGACGTGGTTTGTGACTGATTATGTAGTCTGTTTTGGAGAAAGTTCCATGAGGTCCTGAAAAGAGGAAATATTCATTTGTGCTTGGGTTCAGCGTTCTGTAGATATTTGTTAGGTCCTTTCATTAATAAAATCTGTGATCTGGTGTAATTTTTTTTTTTGCTTTGCTTTTGTCTGGATGACCTGTCCTTTGGAGAGTGTGAGATATTGAGATCTCCCACTCTCAATGGATGAATGACAATGTATGATTTTAAGCTTTAGTTATGTTTCTTTTACAAATATGAGACCCCTTGCATTTAGAGCACAGATGTTAAGAATGAAATGTTATCTTTATGGATTACTCCTATGTTGAAAATATAATATCCTTTATCATCTCCTTTGATTAATTTGGGCTTAAAGTATATTTTTCTAGATGTTGGGAAGACTTTGGTTTTTTGTTTTCTGGGTCATTTTTCTTATTATTTTCCATTTATTAACTCTGAGATATAACTATCTTTGATTCTGAGAATTTATTGTCATTTCTAGAAGGATGGATACTCTTTCCATATTCATTCCTTTAGTCTGTGTCTTTTTGTTTTGAAGCTGAAATCACTGTTATATCAATGGGTCATAAGTTTGAGCCCCATGTTGGGCACCAGATGAAGGTGTAAGTCACAAAACAATCCCACACCAGTTTTGAATTATGATTAATAAAAGGGTTATTTATTTACAGGGAAACACTTACAGATCACCATCCTAGACAACAGCCCTCTGCACAACCAGGAAAGGAGTCTAGCAGTCAGAAGCAGAGCCAGAAGGGGCTACTGCTGCTTTTTAAAGTGAAAGAGACCACACCCAAGTGGGCTGGTATTTTAAAGGCTATTGGCTGAAGGAGCGGAAGGAGCTCCCGCAGCACAGATGCTTGTGTCTGTAGTTCCTGTTTGCTTACCTAGATTTTCCATTTCCAAAATTACCTCATTTTGTGTTTGCTATATTGTTTCTATTACCTTTTTAGTTCTTGAACAGTTTTATTCATTTCTTTCAACTGATTTTTTCCTATGCTTTCTTTAAGGGATTTATTCATTTTCTACATTTTTTGTTTGTACTTTCTTCAATTTCTTTCAGAGATTAATTAATTTCCTCTTTAAAGTCCTTAATTATCTGCATAAAGTTGGCCATAAGGTGCTTCAGCTGTGCTGGAACAGTCATGCTTGCTTAGTAAGATAGCTAGCTTTGGCAGGGACGTATTGCCCCAGCTCTTGTTGAATGTATATTTACACTGATGTTTAGGCATCTGAGTTTTTTGTTATTAGAGGCCTAAGTGATTATTTATTAATTTATCTTCTTTGGATATGTGTTTTCTTCTTTTGTTTCTGTTTTCTCTTTTGTCATCTGACCAGTGAGCCCTGAGAATCTTTATGGCATCTCCACTTAAGTTAGTGGATGAATGTCTGGAGGCCAGATTGGTCACTGTTCCACCAGTGGGACTCTCCCTATGTTGTGGCTGGAGTACTTCAATGCATAGGTGTTTGGGATTGTGGATATAGTGGGAGGCACCAAAATGTGGTATACAATAGAGTTAGGCCCCCAATGTCAACCTCTAACAGTTCTGTGTATTTGCTGGTGGATAATGAATCTCTTACAGTGTTGTTCAGCTGGAGCACCTGTGATCTGGAGGGCTGGAGATGAGGAATAATAGCGATGGGACATGGACAGGGCTGGAGGTTCAAGGTTGGATGGTCTACCTAGAATTCTAAAGGCCATTGTGGTCTCTGGTAGAGGTAGGAGACTCTGCCGAAGTGGGGACTGGGACAATGTAGAAAGGGGGATAAAAAACAGGTGATAGAATGAGCTGGCACAGAAAGAGCGAGAGATTTGCAGAGTTCAATATGAAAGTGTCCTACCTGGACTCATGTTGGTAGCCATGTTCCCAGGTACACCAATGTAGAATTGACTTGAATAACTGACTTGTTTTGCCACTGATATTTTATCTTTGGTGATTTAGTCATTTGCCAATTAATTGTTAATTAACCCAGAGAAGGGTTCCATAATGTTCAAAACACGTGTGGCAACAGTAAAACTTTTCTAAATAGGCAATAAGCAAAAACTAAGTAAAAATTAAAATAAAAGTAATCTGATGCTTTTTACAGTGTTTACCAAGTTGCATCATGGGACTGTGATACAGCCTATGTTGTAAACATACATCAAGCGTATTTTACATCTCCAAATTACACAACTGGAAGTTGAGTGAAGAATGGACTCTCGACCTTGTTCCATCATATATAGCCCTCTTCTTTACAGCTTTCATAGCACAGTAGCAGGTATTGACTTGTCAAATGAAACCCCATTCTGTGTCATTTAGCGTCATTATAAGTGGTACAAGTAAATGGCCATAGAGTACAATAAGCTGATGAACATACATTAATATGTAGGTCTTAATGCATGTTTTAGTTCAACTAATATTTGTGGCACAACTATCTGCAGAAAATTTTCACATAGATATATAGTAATTCTCTTAGATGCTCTGCACATGAGAATGGAAATAGACCAGTCCATTGTGAAGATCATATGTGTTCCTATTTGTCCACATATCACTTATTTTTAATTTATTTATTTATTAAAGATTTCTGTCTCTTCCCCGCCACCGCCTCTCATTTCCCTCCCCCTCCCACAATTAAGTCCCCCCACTCAGCCCGCAAAAGCAATCAGGGATCCCTGTCCTGTGGGAAGTCCAAGGAACCCCCACCTCCATCCAGGATGCTCCACATATCACTTTTACACAAGTACAATCACTCTCCTTTGATTTCAAATTCCATTTCTTCACTCTTTCTTCAGTAAAGAAGGGATTATTTATTCTTTACTAAAGAGAGATATGTTTGAATTTTTTGAATTGAATAAAAGATATGTTTGAATTTTTTGAATTGAATAAAATATATGTTTGAATTCTTTGAAAAGTAAGGCTGCCACATCCCTTGTCACTTGCCTAAGTTTCACCTGTGGTATGTGATACTTGGTAACACTTGAGAATGGAAAGAGAGGAGTTACCTGCTAACTCTTTTTTGTCATTACTTAAGAAACATATGTCTTCTCTCTTTGTATTTTTTTTATTTTCTAACACTTATAACCCATTTACCTCTTATTTTTGCTTTGATAAATTTTAATAATTATAACTGCATATTTTATGAATGTGAACACTGTAAGACATTTTGATTTTGTGAATTGTTGAGAGCTGTTATCAAACATAACACTTTAGTTCACCGGGTCACTCTAAGTATACAAGAGATTGATACTTCTTAATGTTTAGTGTGCAGGAATTAGTTTTTGAGTTTCACAAGCTCTATTCAAAAATTCTTGTGTTTTTCTAAAATTTTAAATGGTGCATTTTCTGTGTGATAATAAAGAATATTTTAAAATTATTTTTAAAATGTACAAGTAAATACATAAAGACATCAGAGTGGTACAGTTTCTAGGTAGGAAACATACTATATTTAACTCTGAGTGAATCAGTCAGAATGAAGAGGTATGATTGATAGTTACTGGTCAGATAATATGAAATGAATAGAAAGAGACAGAAGTTGTTATTCTTTCCAAAACATAAAAACAAATTGGTATTATTCACTCCCACCTTACCTGTTACCCATTTTTTTTACTACAAAACTTCCTCAAAAACATTTTTCTTACATTTTATAAAGATGTTATACAGCTATATACAAATTTATTTAGGATGCTATTTTTGTGTTACTATAACTGGAAAGGTAGTCAAAGCTGTTTTGTAGAAGAAAAAGTATGTTGGTAAGATATACGCAGTATGAATATATAACATGTCTGTATAATTACAAAATAGGTGAACAATATTGGAGAGCTAGCAAATGGCTTTAATCTCTACAGTAAGAACCTGGAACTGGTGTATTTCTGTAAATTTGAGGCCAGTCTAGTCCATAGAAAAAGCAAAGTAACATTTGAAACTTTGAAATCTATTTCCTGTTTATGGACTTTATAAGCATTAATCCTGTTGATACACATTGGTGAACACATATATACAACTTTACTAAACACATCTCTGGTATTTGAATTTATTTAAAAAATAAATCTTTAGAAATATTTTACCCCTGTATTAGATAAAGCAGAGTGAACAAAGAACAACATATGGGGGTATGTGTTAACTATAAAGCCCTTTGATTATGAAGAATTGGAAGCACTAGAGTGAAATGTTGCCTAGACCATTGTGTACTCCTCAGGCATTATTTGACCGCCTTAGCCAATTCAGATAATTTCATAAGAAATACTCATTAGCTCACATTTCACATGAATTTTTCATATTGTTCGATGATTTCAAATGAATACATAAGTAATTTTACTGTTTGGTCAAAACCTCTGCCATTGTCTTTACCTTTAGTGTAAGCACTCAAATACCAGAAATAGACAACACATTATTTTGAAAGATGCAAATGATCCATCTTACTTATGGCATATGCATTGTGATGAGCTTTGAAAGTTTTTGCAAGATTGAAGCTTCTTATGTCATTCCAATCTCACAGCATAGGCAATGTGTTTTAGTATTTGGGGGTGGTTGGGAATACTGTCCAGTTCAGGATAGTTCTTTTTTTTACTACTCAGGATCATCTGTAGATCTCTGTCCATACTTATTGTCATACCCTTTTACAGAACAACAGCTGAACACAACCAGTTTGCATTGGCCTTAGCTTTTTCCATGGATGAAGTCAATAGGAACCCTGGTCTTTTATCAAACACATCATTAGTATTTGATTTTCAAGAAGGTGGTTGTAAGCCTGTGTCACACTTAAACAGTCTCATGCATCTTTATAAAGAAAATCCTTATATTCTTCCGAATTATTCCTGTCAAAAAGAGCCTATGTGTATAATAGTGCTTTCAGGACCAGACTGGGCAACATCTGCGATGTTAGGCACAGTCCTAAACTTCTACGAATCTCTACAGGTGAGATTTTGTGTTGCAGGTTTGCAAGAAATTCTGATTTCATTGTTACAATTTCTAGACGCTAAGAAGATTGTGAGGAGGATACTAGCTTCATACTTTTGTTAAACAGTGTTGTTTAAGGTTACTATTCAGAGACTTGTTGATGAGGGAAGAAGTAACAGGTAATAGGGTTTTAAGAAACTCTTTGCTGAAAGTGCGTTTGTAAGCTCTTAAAAGTGCATGCTATCTCATGTTGCTTCCTGTGCCCTAGGTCCTTCACCTTACCTATGGGCCTTTCCATCCCATCCTGAGCAATCATGAACAATTTCCCTCTCTGTATCAGATGGCCCCTAAAGACACATCTCTAGCCATTGCCATGGTGTCATTGATGCTTCAATTCAACTGGAACTGGATTGGACTGGCCATCTCAGACAATGATCAGGGTATTCAATTTCTCTCACACTTGAGGAGAGAGATGGAAAAAAATACAGTTTGCTTTGCCTTTGTGAATATGATTCCAGTCGAAATGCATTTATTCCAGTCAAGAGCTGAAGTTTATTATAACCAAATCATGACATCATCCACAAATGTGGTTGTCATTTATGGTGACACAGACAGTACTCTAGCTGTGAGCTTTAGAAGGTGGCAATCTTTAGGTATACAAAGAATATGGGTCACCACCTCACAGTGGGATGTCATCACAAGTAAGAGAGACTTTCAACTTAATTCATCCCATGGTACACTAGCTTTTGCACACCACCATGCTGAGATTTCTAGCTTTAAAATTTTTGTCCAGACATTGAACCCTCTCAAATACACAGATGAATACCTGGCAAGTCTGGAGTGGATGAACTTGAACTGCAAACTCTCAGATTCTAAGTGTAAGACCTTGAGGAATTGTTTATCCAATGCCTCACTGCAATGGCTAAAGGTACAGACTTTAGACATGGCCTTTAGTGATGACAGTTATGACATATATAATGCAGTGTATGCTGTGGCCCATGCTCTCCATGAGATGTTTCTTCAACAAGCGGATAATTGGAAAGGATATTATGCTCATTGTTTGAAGGTAGTGTTTCTTCTTTTGGATGAAATTTGATGTCATAGTCTTTAAGCATCTGTCAAATGCCCAAATTTACTTGTTTAAAAATATTTTATAAAATAGAAAGATTCTTGAATTTTTTCTGGTAATAATATAAATTTAGAGGTTGGTATGAATCTTAATGCAAAAACAATGGTGTGAAAGAAACAATTTATCAAGCGAGATGACTTATTTTTGTTACAGAGCACCTAAATATCATGACACCTGTTCTAATACTGTAAACTTAACAGTTCTTCCTCATTAATCCTGTCCATGATGAGAAAATGGATCCTTGCTCATTTATTGTGGTAATAAGTGTATGAGATGGTTTTTGCAAGTTTTCTGAACTGCTTTATTCCTGTGTTAGGCTCTGCCGATCTCATTTCACCTTCTGAGTGAGAGTAGTTACATAGTAAAGAGTACTTATTCTTCAGTTCAGGACATCCATGTGTATCTATGAATGTGAATGGATGGTTCTCACTGTGTGTGTGTTTCTGTGTATCTGTGTGTATATCTGTGTTGCTCTGTACATATGTATTCTTGTCTATCTTCATATCTATCTCTCTGTGTTACCTAGTATAAATTTGTCTTTTGTCAATGTCTTTCTGTATGGTTGTTTGTTTCTGTAAACATTTTCTTGTTTGTTTTTCAGTGCATGTGTTTACTTTTATCTATCTGTGTGTTGTGTATTGCATGCACATGTGTGTAAATCTGTTTCTCTCTCACTGTGTGTGTATGTGTGTGTATCTGTCTGTCTGTCTTTCTGTAAATTTATCTTGGGATATGAACATAAATCTGTCTATGTCAATATCTCTGTGTGGGTCTTTCTATCTGTGTATATCTTTCTGTGTGTATTTGTTCATGAGTGTGTACATGTGTACATTGGATTGTGTATGTGTTTTTGCAGGTTTCTGTTTCTATGTATCTATTTTGGTGCATATGTCTATGTGTGACTTTATTTTCATGCAGGTGTCAAAGCTTAAATGTGTGTATGAAATGTAGTTTTATTGTGTATGTCTATATGGATGTGAGTCTTCTAAATGTCTCTCTCACTCTCTGTGTGTATTTTCATGTCAATGTTTGGTGTCTGCATATATGTCTGTGTTTTTGTTTGGTAGTTTCCCATGAAATAACTTAAATTCTAGGAACTTTATGATAATTTTATTGGTGCACTTGATTTATTGATGATTGTTCCCTGGAAAACTTCAATAATATTGACTTTAAGATGAACTCAGAATACATTTTCTGACTTCAAGAAAGAGCAAATACACTATAGAATGGTGTGTCTCTTTCAGCTGCATTCCTTTCTGAAGAAAACAAGCTTCATTAATCCAGTTGGGGACAGAGTGAATATGAACCAGAAAGAAAACCTTCAGGAAGAGTATGACATTTTTCAGATTTGGAATTTTCCATATGGTCTTGGACTTAAGATAAAGATAGGAGAGTTTAGCACATATTTTCCACACGGTAAACAGCTGCATTTATATGAAGACATGATAGAACAGTCAACAGGAAGTAGACAGGTGGGTCTGACCTAACTGTATTCATTTCCATTGTACAGTAGTAACATTGTCAATGGGTCCATTTGTGCCTAATTTGTAACCTAGTGCAAAAAAATAGATTTTAAAATAGGGAATGTTTATTTTTTGATTTGAGGTGTTTTCAATTATTAGAGGATTTCAGACATGCATACAGTGAATTCTTATTATTCTAGAATATATTTATTTTGGAATAAACTTCTTTTTACCACTGTTCTATATTATTTCCTGTAAAGTGAGCCATATTCTCTTGTGGCCATTCTAATTACTACATAGTGATTTTTGTCTTTTCTGTTAAACCTTTAATAAAGATACTAAAAGACTATGATAATTGTAAGAGGGAGCAAAGAAAACACATGCGAATCATTATTTTTTATTATATAATATGCTTTAAGCATTTTTACCAACAGGTTAAATTGCCAGCGTCTCTAACGGTACAGTAAGATGACATTTGTATGACCCCTTTAGATAACCTATGAATTATAATTTTGTTCTTTCTCTCATTTTTCTTTTAAATAGGTTTGGGTGTTTTGTGTGTACAAACGTCTGTGCAAAACTGCTATATGTGGTACATATGAATGCAACACAATGATTTGGATACCTGGGACGTGGAGACAGCTTAGTGGCCAACTAAAAACCAAATCAGGGCCTTAGACATGAGCAGCAATTGTTATTTACAGCTCTATCATTTCTCCAGCACTGAAATATATCCTGTTAAGGAAATCACTCATTAGAGGAACTTTACTTGATCCCATAAATTCTTTTATATTTTCACTCACACAAAGAAGTATGTGTCCAGTTCCCTTATCTGTGTAGGAAGAACATATTGTTAGTAAAAGAAATGGCTCTTGAACATTTATAAATAATGACTTCCATTATGGGTCTAAGAATTGTTATAATTGTGAATTCTTACGTGACGGGTTTTAAGGTATCCAATTCAAGTTTCTCCAGTATAAAGTGACTTGAAATATCAAGGTGATAGGTTCAGAAAAGTCTTCAGGCTTAATCTAAAATTATGTCTCAAGTATCCAAGATAGTATAAATTCTACAAAATATTCCTCCTTAAAGTAAGGAGGATATTTACTCCCTGAGTGTGTAGCTATTGAACTATATATCCATTAAGGGAGCAGAAATTATTTTTCAAGTGTGCTCTGACCAAGTCTCACTTGACCATTACAAAATGTCCCCTGAGGCTAAACAGAAGATTACGAACATGAAAACCAGTGCTCTACTCCCAGAATTGAAAAACAAATGAACAAAAATTTAAAGACATCAAAGCAATACAACTCCAATGTTATAGTCATAGGCTAAAATAAGATTATTCTTAATGACATATTAAAAAGGGAATTCAAAGAATTATTATAGCAATATTTCCAAATACCAAAGAGGACACAAATCCTCCAGGAGAAGTCAATGAAATCATTAAAATTTGAATGTTATAAGGAGCCGAGTGAGCATGTGACAAATATTTTCTAAAAGGTACAAAAATAATGAAAAAATTAAACTAAAATATGTAAAGACCAAACAAATACAATTAAAATTATAGAGAGAAATCTCACAAAGGGAATATTTCAAGTTGAAGCAGGATTTCTTTAGGAGAGAGGATTAGAGAGTCATAGAGGCAGAGAGAGAGACAGGGACAGATACATTCCATAAGTTCTGTTACTCTAGAGAACCATAACTAATACAGAGACAGATCAATGCTCAATGATGTCTATAAACTATAGGAATTCATAACCACACTGACAGTACTATAGAAGACACTTGAAGAACCCCTACACACTAAAAAGTAAGGTGAATAAAAGTGGTCAAGAGAGACAAATAGAACACCATATGGAAAAACAGTTGGTATAAAATTATTAAATATAAACCCAGAATTGGTGACATGTATCTTTAATCCCAGCACTCAGGAGGCAGAGGCAGGAAGACCTCTGTTAGTTAAGACCAGCTTGGTCTACAAGAACTATTTATAGGACAGGCTCCAAAGCTACAGAGAAACCCTTTCTCAAAAACAAACAAACAAAAAGTATCAAACATAACAATCTCAAAAGTGAAAAATAATTAGCAAATAATTCTCAAAAACAAATGTTAACCTTCTCATTCTCTAATCATAGTAAACAAGCAAAAAGATTGGTTTAAAAAAATCAACATTAATTTTGGCCTCTTAAAACAAATGCCAATTGCAAACATGAAGAGATATTTTCTATAAATATGATGGAAAGGGATTTTGTGGAAATCGAACACAATATAAAAATGAGAGACTAAACATTTTGATAGGAATGGATTGAAAATTCTCAACTAAAGACTAAAAGATGTAGCTCAACAACACAACAGAAAGATCTGTTGGAATGATAAACATAACTTCATTCAAGGGTTACAAAGATGGTTCAAAATATGCAAATAAGTTAAGTAAATGTGGCACAGAAATATACTGATGTATAAGACTGCATAATTATCCATATATGTACAGAAAGCACTCTTGACAGCATTCAACATTCATTCAGAGTTAAAATTTAAAACAAACAAAATCCTGACAAAATAGAAGAAACACATCTTGATTTAATAATGGTTTTTTTTTTTTGTAGTTACTGATTTTTTTCCAGCCTGATCATATTAAAAAGTTTTTTTCATATGGCAGTCATATTTACTAGATTGTGCTACATGAAGAGAAACAGAAAGAATTTCCAATAAAAGCATAAGTGAGGCATGTGTATGTGGTTGGTGTAGAAGGTCCTTCTGTTTGTGTGCTGCTTTCATTGGTTGAAAACAAAAACTGCCTTGGCCTTTTGATAGGGCAGCACTTAGGTAGGCAGAGTAGACAGAACTGAATTCTGGGAGGAAGAAAGCAGAGTCAGATGGAGAGCCGCCATGGAGATGCCATGAATCTCCAGCCTGAGATGGATGTAGGTTAGAATCTTGCTGGTAAGCCACAGTCACATGGTGATACACAGATTTAATAGAAATGGGTTAATCAAGATGTGAGAGTTACCCAATAAGAGGCTAGAGCTAATGGGCCAGTCAGAAATTTAATTAATATAATTTCTATGTAGTTATTTTGGGTGTAAGCTAGCAGGGTGGCCAGGACCAAAAGCAAGCCCTCTCACACAACATGTGGTGGTAAATATCTTTAAGTAAAACTATTGGGAGACAGAAGTAGACAAAATCCTGTTTCTTTTGGACAGTCTGGCCTGCATAGCAAGTCCAAGTGATTTAGGGTTGCATATAGAGACTCTGGCTCAAGAGAAATGAGCAGAAATTAAAAAAGGATATAAATTTTCTCTGTTCTTCTAGAAAAGAATCTTTAATATCTTACTAAGTATAAAAACAAAATGCTAAGCATTAAATACAATAAAAAGGGAAGAAATGTACCATCTGTTAGCATAAACATTCAATTCCAGCATTCAGGAGGCATGCAAGGCAGATGTCTGTGTAATAAAAGACTCAAAATCTTTATTTAGGGATTTGAGATCTAGTAACACTATCTTTCGAGACCCTGTTTCAATAAAAGAATAAAAAGAGAAGATTTGTAGTTAATTATGTTGTGGAATATATTTAAGAGCCCATGTATAATAGAATGAAGATGGATGCTAGAAGGAAGTCCCACACTAGCTCAGAATTGAGTATAATAAAGGATTATTTATTTAGGAGTAGACTCACAGATAAAACAGCCCTCTTCAGGAAAGAAGAACAGGAACCAAATCCAGCAGTGAGAAGAGAGAGCAAGCACATGTTTTATATCAACATTTATAGTATAAAAGGCCACACCCAAGTTGGTTGGTAACTTAAAGGTTACTGGCTGGAGGAGTTCCTACTCCAGGAGACACTGATTTTTGACACAGAACTAAATACTGAAGAATGAAGAGTGAGCACCCAAAAATCAGAAGCAATCTAAAGCTGTATATAGATCACTATCCCCAGACCCAAAAAGATGAATATGGGATGTACTCGCTCATAATTGGTTTCTAGCCATAAATAAGGGCCACGGAGTCTACAATAGGTGAACCCAAAGAAGCTAAGTAAGAAGGTGAACCCAAGGAAAAACATATAGTTATCCTCTTGGCTAAGGGAAGTAGACCAAATTGCCAGGGAGAAAATTGGGATCTTGGGGGTGGGGTGGGATGGAGGTAAGGGGAGATGGGGAGAGAAAAGGTAGAAGGGAAGGAGGGGGGACTTGGGGAAACAGGAGAATTGGGATAAAGGAAAGGTGGATAGGGGAGCACGGAACCACAATTCTTAGTTAAGGGAGCCACTTTAGGGTGGGCAAGAGACTTGACCCTAGAGGGGCTCCCAAGTGCCCAAGATGAGGTTCCCAGTTAGTTCCTTGGGCAGCTGAGGATTGGGAACCTGAAATGACCCTATCCTAGAGCAATACTGACGAATATCTTGCATATCATCATAGAACCTTCATCTGGTGATGGATAGAGATAGAGACAGAGACCCACACAGGAGCACTGGACTGAGCTCCCAAGGTCCCAATGAGGAGCAGAAGGAGGGAGAACATGAGCAAAGAAGTCGGGACCACGAGGCGTGTACCCACCCACTGAGACAGTGGAGCTGATCTACTGGGAGCTCACCAAGGCCAGCTGGACTGTGACCGAAAAAGCATGGGATAAAACCGGACTCTCTGAACATGGCGAACAATGAGGGCTGATGAGACGCCAAGGACAATGGCACGGGGTTTTGATCCTACTTAATGTGCTGGCTTTGTGGGAGCCTAGCCAGTTTGGATGTTCACCTTCCTAGATATGGATGGAGGGGGGAGGACCTAGGACTTACCACAGGGCAGGGAACCCGGACTGCTCTGTGGTCTGGAGAGGGAGGGGGAGAGGAGTGGGGGGAGGGGGAGAAGGGTGGGAGGAGGGGGAGAAGGGTGGGAGGAGGGGGAGGGAAATGGGAGGCTGGGAGGAGGTGGAAACTTGTTTTTTGTTTATGTTTTTTTTCTTCTTTTCTCAATAAAAAAAAGTTTTTTGTTTTAAACTTTAATAAATTCTTTAATTAACTTTAATAAACCTAACTTTTCTTCATGTTCCCCAAGTATTTGCAACCTTTCTAAAGCACATTGATGTCAGGAAACACCCCAACTTTCAGCTCGATACACATCAGTTCAACACTTTCTCACCACAATTGCACCGTGCCCTTCCTACTTAGCTGTATTTTCTTAATATTCTATTTGTCATGCTTTGCAGTGGTATATTTGGAGTTTATGTGTTCCATCTGACATTTGAAGAGATATTCCCCTTGTTGCAGATGTCCGTTCATCCTAGCTTTTTGTGCTATTACTGTGATCAAACACTGACCATAATCAAATTGAGGAGGAGGTTTGATTTGGCTCATGAGCTACAGGAAAGGGATGACATAACAGGAATCTAGAGATTGCTCCTAAATCATACACCCTGAAGGAACACTGCTTACTGTCTTTCTTTGCTTTAGTTCTCATACAGCCCTGCCTAGGGATAGCACTGACAACAATGAGTTGGCCAGTCCTACATCAATGACCCACTAATAAAATGCTTAAGTATTTTGACAGCAGGCTAGTTTAATAGAGAGAAATACTTTAGTTAATTTTCTTTCTAACTTTTTGATGTACTTTGTGTCAAGGTGATGAAAATTAAGTATAAAAATCAGTTTGCAAGCTATAAAATGTTTGCCTACAGAAAAAAAAACCCATATTCTTCTTTCTAAATTTCTAGGATTGGGAAGCTATTCAACTTTACATCAGTTTATGTCTATACAATCATATGATTGGCATTATAAAATATATTAAGTTTAATCTGGTCACTCTTTTGGTGTATATTAAATAAGTTTATTGATATTACAGCATGACAAAATAATATAGTTATAGAAGGAGTAGGTAAAACTGATACCAACTTGTGTCTTATTTTCTTCAGATGCCACACTCTGTGTGCAGTGCTGATTGTGGTCCTGGATTCAGAAAAATCTGGCAGCAGGGAATGGCAGCCTGCTGTTTTGATTGCAGCCCCTGCCCACAAAATGAAGTTTCTAATGAAACAAGTGAGTGCTTGCTGCTGAGATAAATCCTTCACATATATCATCCTCTGTGAAATACACAGGGTTGAGCAAATGAACTTAAAAAGTCACTGCAGAAATAAAATATATGACTATCCTCTGTTAGTTTTATAGAACTATAATCATTAACAATTTTAATTTAAGTAGCACATTATGTCATACACCTTTTACTTTAAGTAACACATCACAGCATACATCTTCAACTCATTGTAAATACACGGTAGGCTTCCTTTCCTCAACGAAACAGTTTTGGTAATCAAAGTACAGTATGAGCGAATTAAAGACCTTGTATACAAGGTCTTACATGATCCCCACACTGCCAATTTACTCAGGAGATTCTATTTTTTTTCTATTTTCTATGTAGATTAGATCCATGTATATCTCTTTTAGGGTCCTCTTTGTTGTCTAAGGTGTCATCATTGTCTTTGATCTTGGCCATTCTTACAGGTGCAAGATGGAATCTCAGAGTTGTTTTGATTTCCATTTCTCTGAGGCCTAAGGATGCTGAACATTTCCTTAAGGGTCTTTCAGTCATTTTAGATTTATCTGTTGAGAGTTCTCTGTTTAGGTCTGTACCCAATTTTTATTGCATTATTTTTTCTTTGATGACAAATTTCTTGAGTTCTTTGAATATTTTGGAAATTAGCCTTCTGTCCAATGTGGGGTTGGTGAAGATCTTATCCAATTCTGTAGGTTGTCATTTTGTCTTGTTGACCATGCCCTTTCCATTATAGAAGCTTCTCAGTTTTAGGAGGTCCCTAAACATTGTTTCTCTCAGTGTGTGTGTGCTACTGGTGTTATATTTAAAAAGTAGTCTCTTGTGCTAATGTGTGAAACTGTACTTCCCACATACTGCTCTTTGAGGTTCAGTGTAGTGGGTTTTATGTTGACGTCTTTGATCCATTTGGATTTGAGTTTTGTGCATGGTGATACATGTGGATATATTTTCATTCTTCTACATGTTTATATCCAGTTATGCCAGCACCATTTGTTGAATATACATTCTTTTTTTTCATTTTTTTTGCTTCTTTGTCAAAAATCAAGTGTTCACGGATTGATATCTTGGTCTTTGATTCGGTTCCATTGGCCTTCCTGTAAGTTATTATGCCAATACCAGGCTGTTTTCATTACTGTCGCTCTGTAGGAGAGTTTGAAGTCAGGGACTGTGATGCCCCCAAAAGTTCCTTTATTATACAGGATTGTTTTTGCTATTCTGGGTTTTTTGCTTCATAATATGAAGTTGTGTTCTTTCAAGGTCTGTGAAGAATTCTGCTGGGATTTTGAAAGGCATTGCACTGAATCTGTAGATTGCTTTTTGTGAGATTGTCATTTTTACTATGTTAATTCTACTTACCCAAGATCATGGGAAATCTTTTCATTTTCTGGTGTCTTCCTCAATTTCTTTCTTCAAAGATTTAAAGTTCTTGTCATTCAGATCTTCCACTTGTTTGGTTACAGTTACTCCAAGATATTTTACATTATTTGTGGTTATTGTGAAGGGTTGTTTCTCTAATTTTTTTTATCAGCCCATTTATCATCTGTGTAAAGACTGCTACTGATATGTCCATGTTAATCTTGTATCCTGCTAGATTACTGAAGGTGTTTCTGAGTTGTAGAATTTCCTGGATAGACTTTTTGTGATCACTTATGTAAACTATGATATGATCATTTAATAGTTAGCCTTTCACCACTTCTATTTCAATTTGTATCACCTTTAATTCTTTCTGTTGTCTCAGTGTTCTTGCTAAAACCTCAAGTACTCTATTGAATAGATATGGAGAGAGTGTACAACCTTGTCTGTTTTCTGACGTGTGATTAATTTGGGTTTCTGCACATTTATGTTATTGTATGTGTTTTTCCATTCTTTGGAATTTGTTGCTGTGAGATCATCTATGGTCTGTGTTTTTGTAGATGTAGGTAACTTCCTTGTGCTGGAATTTTCCTTCTAGTACTTTATGTAGGGCTGGGATTATGGCTAGGTATTATTTAAATCTGATTCTGTCAGGGAATTTTTTGTTTTGTCCATCTATGGTGGTTGAAAGTTTTGCTGGGTATAGTAGTCTGGGCTGGCATCCATGGTCATAACATCTTAATATCTGCATAATGCTTGACTGAGACCATCTGGCTTTCATTGTTTCCATAGGGAAATCAGGTGTCATTCTGATAAATCTACCTTTATATCTTACTTGACCTTTTCTTTGATGTTCTTAATATTAAATATTATTTCTTTATTCTGGATGTGTAGTGCTTTGATTATTATATGGTGAGGGGACTTTTTATTCTAGTCTATTTGGTGTTCTATAAGCTTCTTTTATCTTCATATGCATACCTTTCTTTAGGTTGAAAAAGTTTCCTTCTATGATTTTGTTGAATATACTCTTTGTGTTTTTAAGTTGGACTTCTCTTTATTCTATTTTTATTATTCTTAGATTTGGTCTTTTTGTCATGTCCCATATTTCCTGGATATTTTACGTTAAGCTTTTGTTAAATTAAATGTTTTCTTTGACCAATGAGCCTATTTCATCTATTGTATCTTCAGCACTTGAGATTTCTCTCTTCCATCTCTTGTATTCTGCTGTTCATGCTTGCATTTGTGATTCTTGATCATTTCACATATTTTCCATATCCAGAATTCTCTGTTTGTGTTTTCTTTATTGTCTCCATTTTAGTTTTCAAGTCTTGAATAATTTCTTTAATTTTTTTATTGTTATTTCTTGGTTTTATTAAGGATTTACAGATTTCTTCTGACTTTTTCCTCCATTTTTAAAGAAAACTTTTTATTTCCTCTTTAATGGCCTCAAACATTCTCCTAAAGTTATATATTGGGTCATTTTCTTCTGTTTCATCTATATTGGTGTGTTCAAGTCTTGGTGCATTAGAGCCACTAGTTTTTGTTGGTGTCATATTGCTTTTTGTGGTGCTGTGTGTTCTTAACTTGCCTACCCATCTTTTCCTCTGATTGATGTAGTTCTGACTGTGTTTCTGGTGATCAATCTTCCAGGTGCCAGTAGATTCAAGGCCCAGATGGTTGATCCTTGTGATGTAGTAAGGGTGACAGTTGGAGTTACTCAGGAAGTTTCTCAGTGTTCCAGAGGTCAATTGGGTCTCCCCATGGTCACTCTGTATTCCTAATTGTCATTTGTTATTTTTTTGTTTTTGTTTTTTTTTGTTTGTTTGTTTGTTTGTTTTTCGAGACAGGGTTTCTCTGTGGCTTTGGAGGCTGTCCTGGAACTAGCTCCTGTAGACCAGGCTGGTCTCAAACTCACAGAGATCCGCCTGTCTCTGCCTCCCGAGTGCTGGGATTAAAGGCGTGCACCACCACGTTGGTCCTGTGGAGGTCAGTTGCTTGGGCCTGCTCCCGCTGAGGTTGCTGGCTTGGACCTAGTCCAATTTTTCAAAGGAAAAAAATGGGATTTGAAAACTAAAGAAGGGTGGATTCGTATTGGCACATAATGTAGACAATATGGGGTTCTATAAAAAGTATTTTTACATACAGCACATGGTTAATAATGTCAAATAGTAGAAGATTAAGATGGTTTCCTATGAAAGCAACTAGCCACACTTATCCAAATGGTGTTTTTATTACACGGTTCATATTAGTCAAATGATTATTTGTTTAAAGTTGGTTATATAATACATAGTTGGCAACTAGATAAATTTTTCTCTCCTATTGCCTGTCATTCTATATAATGAAAGCCCTTTAAGGTCATTTAGGGGTTGTAAGATGGTACAAAAGTTAAATTTCTTGCTACTAAAGACGAAAATAAACTTCTCCCCAGGATCCATAAGTAGAAAGGGCTCGTGTTCTGATTTCTATGCATTCACACATACAACAAACTCTAAATTAATAAAAATAAGCTCTAACAAAATTGTGTTGCATATGAAAAAATATGAGAATGAAGGATATTTACAACTATAAAACTACAATAGTGGGGCTGGAGAGATGGCTCAGAGGTTAAGAGCATTGCCTGCTCTTCCAAAGGTCCTAAGTTCAATTCCCAGCAACCACATGGTGGCTCACAACCATCTGTAATGGGGTCTGTTGCCCTCTTCTGGCCTGCAGACATACAGACAGAATATTGTATACATAATAAATAAATATAAAAAACTACGATAGTTATACAAAAATATTTTTAAAGACCTGGATGGAGGTGGGGGTTCCTTGGACTTCCCACAGGATAGGGAACCCTGATTGCTTTTCGGGCTGGGGGGGGGACTTATTTGGGGGAGGGGGAGGGAAATGGGAGGCGGTGGCGGGGAAGGGACAGAAATCTTTAATAAATAAATAAATTAAAAAAAAAATATTTTTAGCATTTGATCTTTATTAATCTTTTTCTTTTTTAATTTACTATTTTTTTAAAAAAAATTCTTTTTTCATTATGCATACCAATACATGATCCCACTCCCTCTCCTCCTACCATTTCCTCTACATACCCTCCCACCCCACTACCATACAGTTCTCAGAAAAGGTAAGGAACCATGTTTACGGAAGGACCAAGGCTTCCCCAACTATATCTAGGCTGATCAAGGTATCATCTAACAAGAATAGGTAACCAAAAAGCCAATAAGTGCAGTAGAAATAAATCCTGATACCACTGCAAGTGGCCCCTCCTTTTTCCCCAGCCATGCAACTGTCAACCACATTCAGAAGGACTAGTTCGTTCCTATGCTTGTTCCTTCTCAGTCTGGCTGTAGTAGGTGAGTTCTCATTAACTCAAACTGTTTCAGTGGGTATACCCATCATTGTCATGGTCATGGCCTCTTTTCTCATATTCCCATACATTCTACTCTTCAACTGGACCTTGGGAGCTCAGTTCAGTGCTCTGATGTAGGTCTCTGCCTCTGTTTCCATCAGTTGCTAGATGAAGGTTCTATGGTGATATTTAACATATTTGTCAGTCTGACTACATGTCAAGTCAAGATTGGACCCTCTCTCCTATATTTCTTAGGGTCTTAGCTGGAGTCATCCTTGTGGATTCCTGGGA